AGCATGCCAAGCTGGGTTAAAGTATGTATTAATGCAGAAGGAGAACACATCAAATATTAATTAATAATATAAAAGTTATCATTAATATTGTTCTTATAAATAATAAAAAAAAATATACATTAAAATAAAGTTTGTATATATCATCAAAATATGTTTTCGCCATTTTTTTCACTGGGGACTGTATATGTAAAATAATTTATGTAGAGGTTAATTTTGGTGAAATCTGATCAATTCGTTATCTGATCCAGTCAAATTTTAGATTATCCAAATTTCTATTCATCAGATCAATCAGAAAATTCAGTTTCTATCCAGTCAATTCAGTGATACAAATGGATCAATCTAAATCTGATCAAATTTTAGATGGATGACTAGATATCCGAATTGATCAGATTCAAAATATACCTCTAAATTCATGTACAATCATTATAATAAATAATTACCATCAATTATAATACTTCTATCCAATAGTTTATTCAACCTTCTTTTGAATTTTCTAACTTATCAATTTCATTAGAATATGCATTTATTAAAGTAAAATAAATAAATCACGTATTTTTTTATCAGTTAGGATCTTTTTTTTTGTAAAAAGTTTGATGATTACTTATTCAAGATGTTTTAAATTAAAACTAAATAAATTAGTATCATAATTCCAAATTAAATCAAATTGATTAAAATTAAAATAAATTAGTATCATAAATCTAAAATGAAATAAAACAAATTAAAGTTTATATAATACTTATGCTATACTAGAATATTTTTTGATAAGGTCTTACCAGATTTAGTAATCTTATTGGAGTCTTCATCTTATGATGAATAGTCTCTTATGTATTTATTTAAAGCAGTTTCTATACAGATAGCTGCTTCTTTCACTTCAAGAGATACCTTATATGTTTTTTGAGAATATTTCAAAGCTTTCATTAATAGGTTAAGATCTTTTTCATCAAACTGAATTACTATAACTATCAAATTTATTAATAATATTAAATATCTACAAAGCGTAAACTACATTACATATTACTTACTTTTGATTTAGTATCTTTATTATTAAAATCATCTTTTCATTTTAATATGACTTAATTTTTAATCATTATAATAGA